AATGAAAGCCAAGATGCCCACAAGTTTTCCTGCATCTAGGTAGTAGAGACTTTGAGAAGCAAACCACATGTCATGAGACTCAGGCTGAAGCTGCAGGAGCAGCCAGTTTTGGAATCTTCTAGCGCAGTGGAACAGGATTTCCATTGCCAGTTGACTATGGGGGTTAGATACACATGAGGCTCCAAAGCTTAATCCCTGTTAGAGCCCTGACAACACTGATCTTATGTAAGAAGCCTTAAAATCTTTATTGCAGTTCCATGTGTTGTCGAGTCCAGAAGCAGATCAGCAGACACTGAAGTAGCCAGCGGAGTAAAAAGATTCAGTGAGGAATTTCATTCTAGAGGGCCACCTAATTTCTAAATGTTTACAATCTCTGGTTAATTATATTCTAATTAAATAGTGGGGTTTGGTGGCAAGGACTTAATAAATGTGATTGTTAATCAGAAGTTTAAAAAGTAACAGCTTCAGATTTTATCCCCAGGAAAAAATGTATTTCTATACCCAAACTTATTAAATTGAGGTAATGCATTTGTGGCTGGATTTTTAGTATCTATATTTATCTATCTGTCCATCTCATCTGGTTTCAATATCACTGAACTGTAGAGATGATCAAAAGCAAAATGAGAATGGTAAAGCTAGGGTCTCGTTTGAAATATTGTCTTTCCAGACTGAAATTTTTCCAGTCATTCTGCCAGCAGTCTCAGGTCTGCATCGTCTATTTAAATTGTCATCTCATCTAAGGGCAAATCTTGGCCCAAGCCAGGGCCATCTGTTGTTGGGTAATAGTTGTGATTTATTCTGCTTCTGGTTGACATTCGTGCTCATGGGCCAGATGCTGACTTGTGAGATTTGCTTTTATTCATTTTCAGTTTTATACCATGTGTTCATATCACAAACAGCATTTTAATTTTAGATATTTTTGTCTAGTGTTTAAAATTAGGGATGAGTAATAGCATCACACACCCCTTTGGGATGGAATTCAGCATGCTTCAGAACAGAATAGGAGAAAATGTTTTACATGGTAGAAATACATTCAAACAATGTTTCTAAATGTCTATTTTATTAATCACTAATCCATACACTCATTTATGTTGCATATAGAAAGTTAGGTATTGCTTTCAGATAAAAATTGTGGACTGTTCGAAGACTTTTGGGCTCAAGAATGTTGTAGTTAGCTAAACTGTAAGCAAAATATTTATGATACTCTGCAGCATACCCGCTGCTACCTTTGCCATCAATGTAGAATGAGGGTAGTTAGGAAACTTTGCAAGTTAGGACTGATTGTCAGAGGGACACTCCTGCATATAAAAGATAAAGGTTATTAGGGAGATGGATAGATTTCCCTAATTCCAGATTTTTAAAAATAGCTCTTTCTAGTACAAATGGGCTGTGTCCAACTTCCAGACAATCTGTGCATCTTGCACATTAGCTTTTGGTAGCAGTTTGGACTTACAGCTGACTGGCTTTTTACACGTCTGTCTTCTCCAAAGTTGGTGTTGAAACGCTGCAGAGTTGTGCAGCAACTCCAAAGCACGTTTGGACACACAATCACCAGTGGAAATGACTTCACTGTCTCACTATCTGCTGTGGGAGCACAAGGCTCTGGGTCTTCCCTCTCACACTGTTCAAACTGCTCCAGTAAAACAGAGGAGCAGCAGGTGAATTGATATGTGAACGTACCACTTTGCTGTGTAGTTTTAGGAGACGTTTCAGAGTCTGGAAACTAAGGGGAAGTTAATTTTAATGTCTTGGGTAGCAGAGGAGCTTCGCTGAAAATGGTTCCCTATGCACTTTTTTCAGATCCAGTCAGTTGATCTCATTGGGTTGTGTGCAGAGGGATTATTAGCAACAGTGCATAGATAATAGGTATCAAAGTTTTTATCAGTTTCTGTCTCTAACAGGAGAAATACCTGCTGGAGTTGCCCACTTCAATTGACTGATCTAGCAGAAAATTACTTGGTGGTTTTGGTTTAAGCCAGAATTATGAGGAAGGAGAGCAGATAGTGGTGAACTCCTTGTTTCTCCTTTGCAGCTCTTGAAACATCATTCACAGAAGTCAAAAAATAGTTGAGATTAAATCTAACTCCTGCCATTTTAAAAAAAAAAAAAAAAAAGGCTTCTAGGTGAAGCAGAACTAAGAAAGGTGAATTTTACATCTTTTTCAATGCAAGGTTTAGAATAAATATTGTTTTCCAGCAAATCAGTTTGGTGGAATCTGAGCCTGCCCCGCAGTATTAGTGCATAGTTTGGCTGCATTGTAGTCGTGGAATACAATTTGTTAACTGCAGAGTCAGTCTGAACCAAGTCTTTGACTTTAACCATGATGGAGGAGAGGCAGAGCTTGTAAAGGCCAAGTCTGAGGTGTTTGCACTGCCTCTGTAGTTACCATAGGGCTCTTATGAGAAGCTGGTACTGCCTGTGTCTGTCCTGTGGACTGCAAAAGAGAATCATAGGATCATCGAAATGGGTAGAGAAAACCTCTGGTAGTGCCCAGCCCAGCTTTCTCCTTGAAGTGGAACCATTGCCGACAGTAGGTAAGAACAGCCGTGGCTTTGTATAGCTGGGTCTTGGAAACCTCCAAGATCCCCTGGCTCTCTGCTGACCTGTTCCAGGATTGCGCCACGCTCTGGGTGAAAAACTGTTTCTGAAAGTCCAACCTGAACCTCCTCTGGTGCAGCCAAGATAGCTAATGGTACAGGAGGTACCTGAGGAATTTCCCTTATAGTGTTGCTATCCAGAAATTCAACATTTCTGTCATGACACTGCTGTTTATTTCTGTATAGGTACTCCAATTGTAAAGTCTTTGTGATTGGTCTTAATATATTTTATGCATACAGTAAATAAGGGTGCCATTATAAGTAAAACTAAGCCAGCATCAATTAATGTACCAATCCTCAGATATGTTAGCAAAAAATAGTAGTTACTTGTAATGATTCACATGCAGTACTTGTGTTTGTCTAGGTAGTGATGTTGTGGAGTCTCAGAACCATTGAAAAAGAGAAAAAACAACATAAGCATTTTTTAAGCGATGTTAAAAATAGTCATCGAATCATGACAAGGACAATAAAATGTAGTTTTAATGGACATCTTATCTTTGGCCTGTTCCCTTGGGAACATTGAATTTCAAGAACAGTTTTTTCTGTAAAGTTCATTGTCTTACTGAACGTGGTCTTAATCTCAGTGGTTCAAAAATGAAATGGGAATTACATATGTAGTCTGAGAATTATACCAGAGTGGTTTTATAATTTGGGTACCAAGCTGTTTTTAATTATAGTCATTGAAGTAATGTTTTCTTCTCATGGTCAGTCGTTTGCGTTTGGGGGGGGATTTTTTGATGGGAAAAAAGAGTGATATTTCTACAATGTATCTACAGAATACCTTGATATATTTAACACCTAACTTTGTGCATAACTCAGTTCCCTGAATCTTAGACGTGACAGTGTAGTGTTTAGATATTAAAATGTAGAAAAGACAGTTGCTCTGACATTAAGACGTTAACAACTGTGTCCTGGACGAAGTCTAATTCAGTCTGCCAAAAAGATAAGCTTGGCCAAAAGCATGAGATGTTTGTGTGCCTGTTCTTGCCCTTAAGCAGGGAGCCCAAAAGCTGCATGTAAAGTTTCTGAGTGCTGGGTTTGTAAAATATCATGGGAGTTTTACAAATGGGAAAGCATGAAATGAGATGAGAGCATCAAACTCGCTTCTGCTTTTTAACTATGTGAGGTAGATGCTGGCTCTTCAAAAGTGAAAGGCAAATGTTCGGATCTGGTTTTAGGACTGTTGCAAAAACTTCTTAATGAGTTGGTCTCCACGTGTTTGACATGGTGGCACCTGCCGGCTTTTGTTCTTCTCAGAGACACTGGGAGTGAATTTGGCATTGCTGCGAGTGGGAGAGGGGCAAACACAGGGACTGGGAAAGTAAACCTTTCCATTAATTCTTTGGGACCTGGAAAAGATACTTAGTGATTAGCAGGTTTTTGTTTCACTTAGAGCCCAAGTTGGAAATTTAAACTCAATTTGTCAGTTATATAAACACACTCTTTTATTCCTAATTACTAAGAGAGCACAAATATACTACCCTCACAATGCCCACTGCGTACTGAAATGGTGCAGTGAAGCAACCTTCTGTCAGGGAAACTAAGCTTTGAAAGGCATGGGAAGCTTCCCCCATCCTTACTAGTCTGTCTTTGGTCCGTCTAGATCAGCATAGCACAATAATATGGGAGATGCCTGGACTGACGCTTTGTGTTCTGTTCCTTCTGTTGATAAGGAAAGCACCATATTTTCCCAGGCTGCAAGTTGAGCAATTTGAGTTCAGCAACAGCAAAAAAACTGAAGAAAGGCTGCATTTTTCTTTGCAGGTCAGGTCCATATCCAGAGAGTCTCCCACAGATGCAGTTTCCACTGCTAAAACCCAGGGTAGTTAGTTTGAGCACTGCTGTCTTACAGCAGCACCCAGCCACCTCACAGTCAAGATAAGCTACTGAAGCTCAGCTTTGCCATCAAACTTCCCTGGTAGGTTTTGTCAGCAGAGCTTATATTTCACACTCTGTCACAACCCTGACTGCACGAGGCATGTGGTGTAGAGCTTGACATAGATACAGCAAGATGACATTTATATATATAAAGCAGACAGCACTGCAAGTAAAGGCTCCAATTCTCAAAGCCCTTAACCACATGTTTAAATATCATTGAAGTCAAGTTAAATTACTTTAATCATATACATAAGTACTCTGTTGAACGATGGTCTAATAGTAGTTTCCATCTCTTTCCACATGATCAAGGCTTTTTCATATTCTGCTGCATGCGATAGGGATTTCTTCTCGGTTACACAGCATGAGCAATTGCTGTGACTTTTGGAAGACTCCCTCAACAATTTGAATTTGCTAAGCTGTCGTAAATAGTTTTATGTGGAATGCCTGTAAGACAGAATGGAAAGGAATTTTCCCAGCTCTGTACTTCCAGGGTAGATTTAACACATCTTTTCCCCTATTTTCCAGGACCACCTGTTATTGCCAGCCACCACACATAACAAGACCAGAAGACCAAAGATGTCTATAGTGTTGCCAGCTGTAAACATCAATGGTAAGTCCAAAACATAAAGAGAACGATAGGAGAGTAATTTCAGAGAGACGTGCCTGACTTGTACGTGGAAACCAAATTCAGACCAAATGTCTGTCATTATAGCTTTGAAAAAGAAGCCAGACTGGTTGTTACTGAGCCTTAGTTGCCAGGGTCCCTGCTGGAGCTGGGGTGCTGGCAAATCACCAGTCCCTGGTCACCGAGAGCGTAACGAGAGGCTGTGTGACTTGGCCGGCAGTTCTGCAGGCTCTCGTCCTACCTCCTTCAAGGACAGGGGTGGTGCCATCCAGTCCACGTGGTTTATACGCAGGTGATTAAGGGTTACCTGAGTATGATCTAGCTTCTCTAACTTGGTGGCTAGAAAGATCCCACTGAGTGTGGAGACCGTCCTCATCCTCTCATTTGGGTTCCTCCTACGCCAGCTTAGCAGGGCAAATTCCTTGGCCTTACTGGTTTGTTAGGACGCTGACTGCCTTCCATCGACTTCCTCAGCTGTTTACCACTCTGTTATACAACACTCAGTGTGAGCGGGACCTCTCAGCACTGCATGGTCAGGATTAATAACAATCATGTTACGGTGCTGCAGGACAGCAGAGAAAACAGCTTTTAACTGGGGGCACAGGCTTATTAGCAAACAGAAATGTTCTTGATTTACATTTTAGTCCCACATGAGAGACAGGACATGAACTGCATAAATATATTGTTAATTCATATGGTGAGGAACTGCCGTGTTAGGACATGTTTGGGTCACAGGGTCACTGTCACAGTCATCAAACTCATCGTGAAACCTGTAACAGTATAAATTTTACTTTCTGAATATCTGTGCATGTAACCCTATTTTATAACTTACGTGTTTTACAGTACAAGTGAATCATAAACCCAAATGTTTTTGTTAAATTCAAGCATGCCGAAAATATTATCTGATGATGCGAATTTCCATAAACTAAGAAAAAAAAAAATCAGTTCAGGCTTTCAACATTTTGATAGTTCAGGCTTTTGAACATTTTCCCATGCAGTACAGTAAGTGGAGTGTGATAATCTATAACCAGCTGTCTTAGGGGAATTTTTATTAGATGTATCAGAATTATTTTTGGTATTTATCTGCCTGAAACTCCCTTTTCATGTCCATTACAAAAATCCTTTTCTGGCTGAGCTGAATTGTCACGTGCAAATGGGCACTGTATCACTGAAAGGACAAATGCTATTTCTAAATTACAAAGTATTTCTTCTTAACACGTTACTGAGTCTTGTTTTACTTGAAATAACTTTTCAGTTGTTGGAGTAAATGTAACTTGGAAAATACACGTCAGAATCCAGTGACAAATCTTATCCTTCATTAATAATGAAACATTGTGAAATTATAGTTACTTGAGTTCTTTGGGATTTTTCTTCAAAACATCAGCATAATCCAGGAAATAAAAAAACGTCCAGGGATTTGGGCAGAGATGTTGAAACAGATGAGACACAAGGATAGCATTAAGTAAACAACGGCATCAAACACTGCTTCCTCTGTGACACTCAGCCAGGTATTAGGAAAAAATGACAATATACACAAGAGACAGTAGGTAATTTGGCTGGATTTTAATTTGATTATTAGATTACCTGGAGGGGGCAATTCCCTAAAAAGTTCTGCCTGGAGAGGAACCCGTTTCTCTCCTTGGAGAACATTGCTCCTCCACCCTGTTCTGCCTCCGCGGGGAGTGAGCACGTCCTGAACAAGCATCTGGAAGTTAGCTGACAACAAAGCTTTCCTCCCAGCTGTCTGCTGTTCTTTTAAGCCCACCTTAATTCTTTGTCCACCTGCAGAGAGTTGGCTGCTGGAAGAGGACAGGTCTCCCTGGGAGGAATTGGCAAAACTTTCAGAGAAAGAACTTGTCCCCTCCTGCCTTTTCTCATGCCTCAGCCAGATCTCTGTGGAAGAAGGGAAACCTTTTCCTCTGCCACTTACTTGCCCTTCCTTTTTGCTCCCACAACCCTGGCAGAGGAGATGAAGGAAATGTAAGCGAAGTGGCCTTTGCTTTGAAACTTTTTCGGAACTTCATCACTTGCTTTCTTCTGCAGGGTCATTATTCTTCTGTGTACTAACGTTTACCCATGGCACAGTTCAGCTGAGAACTCTTTGAACTGCTTGGACAGTCTTTTCCCAGCAGGACTGTCATCCTTTCCTGATTGCATTTTGACTGCTTGAGTGCCTTCTGAGCTCTGCTAGAGACTCTGCCTTTAGCTGGCGTGAGCTGTTCCCACCACCGGCTGCAGGGAAGGAGAACAGATACGGACAAAGATTAGGAAGTAAAATGAGTTGTCCGTCGCTGTCCTGCCAGACTCTGCATGGAGGTTAATGACATGGTTCTGCAAGGTTGGTCTGGCAGTTTTCACCAGTATAAAGCAGAATCAAGTTTACAGTTTGAAGAGGTTTTCTTGGAGGGAAGAGTTGGGCTAAGTCTGGCCAACAGCAGTCCTAGTGCTTTGCAGCCCATGACAAATCTCAACAGAAGATTTTGCAGTAGACAGGTGTGTGTGTGTGCACATGTGTGCATTCAGTAAGGTGAAAGTTTAAGAGAACAAAGCAATAACAGTACTTTATTCATTTTCAAGACAAAATCTTGATAAAAACTATTCAGTTGTTGTGTGTTGGAAAAGAGTGAAAATGGCCATTACCTTGTAACTTTCTCCTGTGTGCTCCTTCTCCTGGTCAGCCTGAATTGCCGCTCTGCAAGCATGAGGATAAGCCAGCGAAATCCCCAGTGAGGGCTTCTGTGCAAGTGTGTAGAAATATATTTAAATGTTTAAAATGTTTAATATGTTAACATATGTTAAATGTGATTAAGCATTACATTTTTTTAAAAAAGTATAGTAACTTGTTACACGTTGGTACAAGTTAATCTTCCCCCTCCTACCCTCTTTTCCTTCTTCCCCACCGTGTTCAAAGCCCTTCCAAGCTTGCTGGGCCACCCCCTGCCCAGTTCACAGCCCGTACTTGCTGTCAGCTGCTCCATTCTGCCTCCCCAGCTGCTCTCGCAGCCCTTTACCCTTCTCCCATTTCCCTGCTGGCTGCTGTCCCTCGGTACAGCTCTCCCCTTGGCCCCTGCAGCCAGCCATGCCCACGTTTTGGCCTGCCTCTGCCCAACGACAAAGCCCCAGCATCTGCGGACACAAGTGGTACTCCCAGAAAATCTGCCTGATGGTACCAAAGGACCTTAGGGTGGGTAAGCCTAGAGGGGAAAAAAAGCAGAACTGGGTAATCCTAGTCCCACTGCACATGGTTTTGGGGGCATCATTGGCATGCCTTTACTGAGAACTTATTCCAAGAAGAAATATCTTGCAGTTTCTCATGGGAATGAAAGCCAACTGCAATTTACAGTTAAACTCCGGCTTTTGTTTTTAAGCAAGTCATGTTTGTTATGCTGGATTGCAACTATTATTTTAGAAATCTAACTATGCACTTGAGACCAGTTAAGTCTCCAGTAGATTTCATTCCTAAATTTGCTTTTATTGTAATTCAGAGTCTTGTTGGCTCATTAAACCAATTCCAAATTGACATATAGGCAGTGCCTTTCTTGAAGTTTAAATGAAAACATCTGCCATGAGCCTTCTATTTACTTAACTGCTGTAAAAAAGGCAGTTGGTTATAGCATCGATCTTTGGATCAAAATCATCCACAGAGTACAGCATAGCTAAGCCGCTCTCCCTACCCCAAGCACAAGCCTTTTGTCTCTGCAGGATGCCTGCAGCTTTGCAGCGCAGCGCACACCACCAGTAGTCCTCTCCTTGCAGCACACAAAAGTGAGAACATATGTACAGTCATTCAGTGTAGGAGATAGCATTCGACGTGTAGCACAAGGAGCCACTTCATTAACGCATTTCTCCCTAGGATTCGGTTAGGTACTCTCACAGCTTGCACTTCTTCTTGGTGGGAGCAGCTGTAAACGTCTGTGCGGGTGTGTACTCACCATGAGTACTGGTGGCCTTAGCAGCAGCACAAAACCCAAAAAGGCCTTTCTTTGTTCTCAGGATCCCCGTGCAAAACACTTCCCCATAGGTGAAAGTCCTTCCATTGTTTGCTGTCCCTGAATTGAGGGTTGCTGTCTGCACTCTCAGCCAAGCAAAAGTGACAGACCTGATGGGAAAGCCCCTGGTGAGACCCGAGGCTTATTTTCTAGGAATTAGCAGCCAAGACAAAGAGATTTTTGAATTTTTTACAAATATTCTGGATAGGTCCTTAGTCTAATGTCACACAATGGGCCTTGTCTTCAGGCTGCCTTTGAGATAGCAGTTTGTGTGCCTAACCCTCTATAACTTGTATGCTTCTGGGTTCTTAAGGAGCCCTCTTCTCTTAAGGGTTGCTTTTTGTCATGAAACACAGCAGCAAAATAGTCTCCTAAAGGCAGAAATTTACTGTGAACAGGATTGTGAGTTTTGCAAAGTCCATGTGCTCTGTTGTGTTGGCCAGCTTCTGATCGCAACCGCTTCCCTCAGCCTTTCTTCCTAGCATCCATCATCATACTAATGTAACAGACTTCAAAAGTGCTCTGAAATGATACACATTCTAATTAAAAAGGTCAATAACAAATCTAGTGGTAAAGCTTTTTGATCAAAACTGGAGCGATTTCTGCGATCAAGTAGCATGATTATTTGCATGCAGCTACAAAGAACCTTCTTTCAACTGAGAGCCATGTGCAAGCCACTCGCAGATGTCCAAGGCTGGTAGCAAACTGTCTGTGAAAAATCCATAAGGCAAACAGAACCCACACAGGCTGAGAAGGAAAATAAAAACAAAAGCTCTTTGGCAAGTGACAATGTTCTGTAAGTTCCCATGTCTTGGGGTTGAATAAATAAAGTCTCCAACTTCCTCTGCCTTTCAAGGTCAAGCAAACAAAAGATGCCATTTCTGTCTTTCGGAGCAAGAAGCAGAATTCCCAGTCAGTCATTGAATGAGGATGGTCTAAACCAGTATGTACCACTTAATGGCAGCTGACTTCCTTGAAGCTTGCTGCTTAACATTT